GAATTTATGTAATTGCTTTTACCTACTACATGAATAATCAATAAGGCTTTAATAGCATACTCTATTTCATATTTACTACTCACGCAATGATCTTATAAAAGATACTCTCACACAAACTAGAGAAATCATTGAATATATTTGTTTTATGGGATTTAATATAATAGTTACCCCCTTCTTAGAGTTCTGTTTGAAATATAATAGTTAATTCCTTCTTAGTTTTCTGACATGAAATATAATAGTTAGCCTCTTCTTAGTTTCTATGATGAAATATAATAGTTACCCCTCTTAAACCTTCTTCTTCTTCCTCTCATCAAAAACATCTAATCCTTCTTATTCTTCTTCCTCCTCATCAAAACACAAGGGAAAGATCGAAAGCTAGAGGGAAGAATCAAAATTGAAGTGGTCATTTTAAAATCGAAAGTTGTGGGATGTAGAAACAAAATTTGAAGTGGTCATTTTTCGCCCCTGTCCCCAACCCTGCCCCCCGAAGCCTAGTTTACTTATATTACTTTAGGATGCCACCTTTTTAAGCGAAGTTGCACGAATTTATGTAATTGCTTAATTCACCACATATGAATAATCAATAAGGCTTTTAATAGCATACTCTATTTCATATTTACTAATTAATGCAATGATCTTATAAAAAGATACCTTTCACACAAACTAGAGAAATCATTGAATATATTTGTTTTATGGGATTTAATATAATAGTTACCTTCTTAGAGTTCTTGTTTTGGCAATAGTTACCCCTTCTTAGTTTTTCTTGACATGAAATATAATAGTTACCCCTTCTTAGTTTTCTATGATGAAATATAATAGTTACCCCCCTTAAACCTTCTTTCTTCTTCTTCCTCTCATCAAAAACACTAACTTCTTATTCTTCTTTTCTTCCTCTCATCAAAAAACACAAGGGAAAGATCGAAAAGCTAGAGGGAAGAATCAAAATTGAAGTGGTCATTTTGAAATCGAAAAGCTGTGGGATGGGAAGAAACAAAATTTGAAGTGGCCATTTTTTTTCGCCCCTTCTGTCCCCAACCCTGCCCCTGAAGCCTAGTTTACTTATATTACTTTAGGATGCCACCTTTTGGCGAGTTGCACGAATTTATGTAATTGCTTAATTAATTACATGAATAATCACAAGGCTTTAATAGCATACTCTCTATTTCATATTTGCATTTACTCAAATGTACCGATCTTATAAAAAGATACTTTCACACAAACTCAGAAATCATTGAATATATTTTACTTTATGGGATTTAATATAATAGTTACCCCTTCTAGAGTTCTGTTTTGAAATATATAATAGTTACCCCTTCTTAGTTTTCTGACATGAAATATAATAGTTACCCTTCTAGTTTCTATGATGAAATATATATTAGTTACCCCTTAAACCTTCTTCTTCTTCCTCTCATCAAAACACTAATCCTTCTTATTCTTCTTCCTCTCATCAAAACACAAGGGAAAGATCGAGTTAGAGTGGGAAGAATCAAAATTGAAGTGGTCATTTTAAAAATCGAAAGCTAGATGGAAGAAACAAAAATCGAAGCGTCATTTTTTTCGCCCCTGTCCCCTCAACCCTGCCCCTGAAGCCTAGCTTCTTACTTATATTACTTTTAGGATGCCACCTTTTGGCGAGTTGCACGAATTTATGTAATTGCTTAATTAATTACATGAATAATCAATAAGGCTTTTAATAGCATACTCTATTTCATATTTACTACTAATGCAAATGATCTTATAAAAGATACTTTCACACAAACTAGAGAAATCATTGAATATATTTGTTTTATGGGATTTAATATAATAGTTCAATTCCCTCTTAGAGTTCTGTTTTGAAATATAATAATAGTTACCTCTTAGTTTTCTGACATGAAATATAATAGTTACCCCCTTCTTAGTTTTCATGATGAAATATAATAGTTACCCCCTTTAAACCTTTCTTTTCTTTCTTCCTCTCATCAAAACACTAATCCTTCTTATTCTTTTCTTCTTCCCTCTCATCAAAAACACACAAGGGAAAGATCGAAAGCTAGAGGGAAGAATCAAAATTCGAAGTGGTCATTTTAAAATCGAAAGCTAGATGGAAGAAACAAAATTTATGGTCATTTTTTTCGCCCCTGTCCCCAACCCTGCCCCTGAAGCCTAGTTTACTTATATATTACTTTAGGATGCCACCAAGAGTTGCACGAATTTATGTAATTGCTTAATTAATTACATGAATAATCAATAAGGCTTTAATAGCATACTCTACTTCATATTTACTAATTAATGCAATGATCTTATAAAAGATACTTTCACACAAACCAGAGAAATCATTGAATATATTTGTTTTATGGGATTTACTATAATAGTTACCCCCTTCTTAGAGTTCTGTTTTGAAATATAATAGTTACCCCCTTCTTAGTTTCTTGACATGAAATATAATAGTTACCCCTTCTTAGTTTTCTATGATGAAATATGGCTAGTTACCCTCTTTAAACTCTTCTTCCTTCCTCATCAAAACACTAATCCTTCTTATTCTTCTTTCTTCCTCTCATCAAAACACACAAGGGAAAGATCGAAAGCTAGAGGGAAGAATCAAAATTCGAAGTGGTCATTTTAAAAATCGAAAGCTAGATGGAAGAAACAAAATTTGAAGTGGTCATTTTTTTCGCCCCTGTCCCCAACCCCTGCCCCCGAAGCCTAGTTTACTTATATTACTTTTAGGATGCCTTTTGGCGAGTTGGTAATGAATTTCTATGTAATTGCTTAATTAATACATGAATAATCAATAAGGCTTTTAATAGCATACTCTATTTCATATTTACTAATTAATGCAATATCTTATAAAAGACATACTTTCACACAAATCCAGAGAAATCATTGAATATTTGTTTTATGGGATTTAATATAATAGTTACCCCTTCTTAGAGTTCTGTTTTGAAATATAAGCAATTCCCCTTTCTTAGTTTTCTGACATGAAATATAATAGTTACCCCTTCTTAGTTTTCTATGATGAAATATCATAATAGTTACCCCCTTAAACCTTCTTTCTTCTTCCTCTCATCAAAACATTCAATCCTTCTTATTCTTCTTCTTCCTCTCATCAAAACACAAGGGAAAGATCGAAAGCTAGAGGGAAGAATCAAAATTCAAGTGGTCATTTTAAAATCGAAAGCTGTATTGGAAGAAAACAAAATTTGAAGTGGTCATTTTTTTCGCCCCTGTCCCCAACCCTGCCCCCTGAAGCCTAGTTTACTTATATTACTTTAGGATGCCACCTTTTGGCGAGTTGGTAAATGAATTTATGTAATTGCTTAATTAATTACATGAATAATCAATAAGGCTTTAATAGCATACTCTATTTCATATTTACTAATTAATGCAATGATCTTATAAAAGATACTTTCACACAAACTAGAGAAATCATTGAATATATTTGTTTTATGGGATTTAATATACAGTTACCCCTTCTTAGAGTTCTGTTTTGAAATATAATAGTACTCTTCTAGTTTTCTTGACATGAAATATATAATAGTTACCCCTTCTTAGTTTTCTATGATGAAATATAATAGTTACCCTTAAACCTTTCTTCTTCTTCCTCCTCAATAAAACACTAATCCTTCTTGTGAAATATTCTTCCTCTCAAAACACAAGGGAAAGATCGAAAGCTAGAGGGAAGAATCAAAATTCGAAGTGGCTATTTTAAAATCGAAAGCTAGATGGAAGAAACAAAATTTGAAGTGGTCATTTTTTTCGCCCCTGTCCCCAACCCTGCCCCCCGGTGCTTCCAGTTTACTTCTATATTACTTTAGGATGCCACCTTTTGGCGAGTTGCACGAATTCTATGTAATTATAGCACCACCTCACAGTAATAATCAAATAACACTTTAATGCCATATTCTACTTTATAATTACAAGTTAATGCCATGATCTTATAAAAGACACTTTCACAAAAACTAGTGAAATCATTAAATATACTCTTTATGGATGAAATATACTGAAGTACTCCCTTCTAGGGAGGTCTGTCATGAAATATAATAGTTACCCCCTTCTCTTGTTTTCTGTGATGAAATATAATAGTTACCCCTTAAACCTTCTTCCCTTCCTCATCAAAACACTAATCCTTCTTATTCTTCTTCCTCTCATCGAAAACACAAGGAAAGATTGAAAAGTCTAGAGGGAAGAAACAAAAGTCGGTATAAGTGGTTAATTTCGACGCAGTCCCCAACCCCCTGAAGCCTAGTTTCTTATATTACTTTTAGTATGCCTCCAATTTGGCGAGTTACACGAATTTATGTAATTACTCATTAATTACATGAATAATCAAAAAAGGCTTTTAATAGCATACTCTATTTTATATTAATCCACTAATGCAATGGTCTTATAAAAAGATACTTTCTCAATAAAAAATCCAGTGAAATTATTAAATATAATTTTTATGGGATGAAATATAATAGTTACCCTCCTCAGAGTTCTGTTTTGAAATATAATAATAGTTACCCCTTCTTAAGGCTTCTGACATGAAATATAATAGTTACCTCTTCTTAGTTTCTTTCTTATGATGAAATATAATAGTTACCCTCTTAAACCTTCTTTTTATCAAAACACTAATCCTTCTTATTATTCTTCCTCTCATCAAAACACTAATCCTTCTTTTTATTCTTCTTCCTAGAGGCAAGAAACAAAAGTCGCATGAGTGGTTAATTTTCGCCCATGTCCTGAAGCCTAGTTTTCTTATATAACTTTGGGATGCCACCATTTTGGCGAGTTACATGAATTTATGTAATTACATACTTAATTAAAGTAATAATCAAATAACATTTTAATGCCATATTCTATTTTATATTTGCAATTTAATGCAATGATCTTATAAAATATAATTACAAAAAACAAGTGAAGACATTAAATATAATTGTTTTATGGGATGAAATATAATAGTTACCCCTTCTTAGTGTTCTGTCATGGTAGAATATTTGAGAACACCAAGGTTAAGGAGACACTAAGGATTAAACATGATGTCTTGTACAGTATTTAATAGAAAGAGAAATGTTAAAATATTATACAGTACTTGAAATACCTCAGATGACAAATTTCATAATAACAAAAAATTGGAGGAAAGTTTTGGTTCAACAGATTTCAGGTTTTTTATATATAATATATTTTTTGAAGTGATTTACTTCTTTTCTTGCTGTAGAGCCTTGGCAACATACAATTTACCAAGAGACTGACTGCAAAACTGAGAGATCTGTTTGCAGTAATTTGATATCTGTCCTGAGGTGATCATAGCATCTAGACGTGGCAAGGGAGCAATGGGCTTGAACTGTTTACTAATGTCTTCATCGGGTAACTGCGGCTCTCCACGTGCTTGGCGTTGAGCATTTTCGGCAGCCTGTGGAAATATTCAGGAGAAATAAAATGAGAGTTTATGGCATTGTATAAATTAAATATGTTAGTGGCATTACTGTATATAAATAAAATACGGTTGTGCTTCCATTTAACGTCATTTAACAAAAAATAAATAAATAAAATTAGCTGTATTATTTATTTATTTGTGTTTTATGTATGTGTCCACACATACACACATATATATATATATATATATATATATATATATATATATATATATATATATATATATATATATATATATATATATATATATATATATATATATATATATATATATATATATATATATATATATATATATATATATATATATATATATATATATATATATATATATATATATATATATATATATATATATATATATATATATATATATATATATATATATATATATATATATATATATATATATATATATATATATATATATATATATATACATGCAAGTAAAAATGGTGTCCTAAGGCAAGCATAAAGGAATATACATTCCTTTACACAAGTGTGCCCCCCCTCTTGGTCAGCAAATGTTATTCCCGGATTTGGCGATTTGAGGCCATTTTGAGATCCTAACCCCCGCGAATTTGAAGGGCCTGCTGTATATATACATATATACACAGTGACATGGTTTACAGGAACAGCACCTTTTGAGGGACACCTGTACATGGCAGTATGAAGTTCACAAAGATTGATTGTGGTAATTACATCTCTGGCAAAATTTCACAAAGCCATTGTTACAAAATTATAAAATATATGATAACCAGATGACATGCTTTACTGGTTGCCCTCTTAACTGGCAATGAAGGGTCACAACTTCCATTAGAAATCAATGATTACTCACCTACTTCTATGCTAAATTTGAAAATTATGCCAGTCAAAGAAATTACATTAGGTCATGCCGCCTATTTTTCAAATCCTTTGGGTTGAGATTTATCTATATTCAAACAATAAAAAATATCAAGTGTTGAGAGCAACAATAACTACTGGGTATACCTATCACACTAATGATGGGGAGAGTTAGAGGAGAGGGAAAAAAGTCTTCCTCTTAACAAAAACAAATTATTATATAAATGAGACAGTTCAAAATTAACCTTACCCTTTTCTGCATGAACTTATGCTTATCCTGTAACTGTTTAGCATTCTGACGTTGAAAGTTGTTGAACTTGTTGGCCTCTTGACTAAGGTCATCCACATAATCCATGAGACACCTCAACTGACGATCCAGGGTAGACATAGTTCCCAGGTCCAGGAACTGTTTCCCCTCACTGCTGGGCATCAACTGGAACATTTAATGAAACATATTAAGACGAACAGAATTTGTAATTCTTAGATGTTTTCTTTATTCTTCTTCCGCTTGTAAGTGGGATTCAGAAGCATAACTTTTTAAAGAACGAAGGGAAATGTGATGGGAAAGAGTAGTGTTTGCATTCTTGTGGTTTATAGGCTACAAAAGGTATCAGGATAATAAACTCCCGGACAAATGCCCACCCTCCTCCCCCTATCAGTGAGTCTGTACCAACATATACTCAATCCAAAGACTTTTCTCATCGACTATGAACAAGCCGCCAGGAGTGCCACTGAAAAGGTCTTACCTAACACATCTGTCAAGGGATGTTTCTACCACTTATCACAAAACATATATGACAAGGTACAATACGAGGGATTACAAGGAAAATATCAAGTTGATGCTGATTTTGCCCTGAATATTCGAATGCTACCAGCTCTGGCCTTCATCCCACAAGATGAAGTGGTCGACGCATTTGAGACACAGCCAACTGAAGGTGATCCTGTCATAGACTACTTAGAAGATACATACATTGGATGCTTACAAGGATGGCATAACCATATGCTAGTAAACATTATTTCATTCCATCCAAAAATCTGGAAGTTTCTTCTAGTATTGACGAAGGAGCAGGCACTGACCAACATCACCATCAATCAGAAGACTGCAGAAGATCCAGCACCACCTAGCTGGAAACGCTATAAAGATTCGACAGCCAGAATAGCATCCATCGTACGAGACTTTGAGAAACACCATGTGTTGAGCCTTTTGAGGGGAATAGCCCACAGCTTGCATTTAAGTGTGTGATGTATGCCAGTGAATTTTCTAAATATTGATTTTGACTGATCCACAATTTTTTACACTTATCCACAACTTTTTATCAGCGTTGTACTAATTCTAGTTTTCTTGGAGGTTTGTAGTTAAAAATTAACTTTTGTGTGACTGGAGCATTTTGTATATATAATCACTATCATACATAAAAAATAAAACATTAATTCATAAGAGTGCTATATTTTCCAGTCTATTCAGTCTTCCATATTTTATGCCAATTATTGGTGAAATCATTCTTTTCCCCACAATAAACAATAAATGTCAATATAGATTCACTGGCAATGCGGGGCAATAGTCCGAGATCCCTACAAAGAACAAAGGAAAAGTCAAGATAAATTAATAAGGCTGAAAAAGTAAAAGGCCTTGCTCAATGCTCATTTACCCCTTCAAAAGATGTTAAGTGCCTAAAACAGACAAAAAAACATACCCACCTCATACAATTCACTCAAGAGCGTATTGACCAGGTGTGAATTCTTGACGACCAAACGGATCTCCTGAAACAGAGATTCAAATCCCAGACGCATCTTTTTAAGGGCCTCAGGGGTGTAGTCACGTTCCTGAACTGTGTTGATGGCTTCCGGAGTGAGACGATAAGCTTTAATAGACAGGAACCCTCGTGCTGTCTTGATGGGATCTGGAATTGATGGAAAATTAAACACCCTTCCCCACTCTGAGACGAATTCAAAATGGATGACCGAGAACATATAAAGAGCATGTGAAATGTAGTTGCAATGTGCCGAATAAGATTGGAATATTAAGATTTGCCGACTGTAACAGTCCACCCATGGTAAAATGCAAGATACTGATTTAGTTTTCTTATTTTAACCTAACCAAATTATCTTAATATCACCCACTGAAATAAAACAAACACAGTTGCACCTTGTCAAACATAAAAAACTATGAGATGTAATAATCAAGAATCGTAGTGGGCCCAGTTCTGTAATCTTATTACTGTACAGCGTTTCAGTCTGATTGCAATCTAAGTAATTGTATTTGTTTAAAAAAAAATATAATGAACTCTCCACCTATAATTGTGAGGCAGATTTGGGGATACTAAACCTCAAAGAAAGTGCAGGAAAGAATTGGGGATTGATTTAAGATAGATGCAGGAGACAAACTTACCATAAATCAGGACGACAGACTCCTCAATGCTAGTCTGATAAGAGAACTGTGACTCGAGGAGTTGCGTGGTGATGAAGTTGCCAAGCTGAGTACTCTGGTACCAGCCAACACTTAGGTGATCCACATTTACCTTTCGCAAATGACGCATCATTTCAAGCTGATAATCCTCTGCCAAGAGAAAAATAATAGAAAAATAATAAAACAATTGCTAGATTGTGATGTGAAATAGTAAAATGTGTATACAGTAATTCAGATTTAGATGGTAAGAAAGAGAGGCAAATATCCACTAGAAAAGTCCAAGATGGACACCCAGTAGGAAGCAGTATGCCACCACTTTCCGTTAATTTACTATCTTTTGTACTTTCAAGCGATCTTACCAAATGTACATCTACAGTTACAATACTGTAAATCAACCCCACCTCAAGATTTCTACAAGGCTTGAGTGGTCTTTATATAAGTACAGGTAGAGTATTCCCTTTGTTTAAGAAGTTGACTAACCAACACAGACCTCCATTATTGTATGCAATTCTTCCCTGTGCATGGTCTCCTGTTAGCCTCAAGGACATCTAAAATAAACATTATATTAAAGTCACAATATCTACCAGTAGTTTAAGCAGTGTTCATTCTTTTTGTAAAGTACCAAAACACTTCATGAAACCAATGATCAAATATTCATGTCATACTATTTAATTTTCTTCAATAAAAATAACATACAGTATAAAAAATTATCATTACGGTACCCTCTTCTGCTCTAGCTCGTACTGGCATCCCCCAGGTTATGAAAGGGATGTGTCTTTGAAAATGTTTTCATAGCCCGGATTTCCGTAATGTGGGACCAATTTTCCCATTGACTTCCATTATATAATTGGAGATACGTTCCAAGGAAATATTTTTGGCAAAAATATGTAATAGAAGCACACATGAAAATAAACATCTTTAAGCACATACATTGATTACTTCATGACGTAACATTATAATAAATGCACACAACCCTTGTATTTAACTCACTATAAACAATATTGAGTGTTGTATGAGGTGGTGCGATCGGAGTTACCTCCAGAAAAAATTAAGTTTAGTGTCCAACATAATTCCTTCAAGTGATCTTTTAGTACCACTGCTTTCATCTGAACACGATGCAAAGCCGAACAAGCTAGAGTTTGAAATTAAACTGAGCACCGTTGGCGTGGGTGCGCTTTCCTCCACCGTACTGTAGCAACCACCAAGAAATCCACATGAACAAACTTTATAGTTTGGTCATAGTTTCTAAAATCCCTAAGCACGAATTTCCATAATGAGGAGGATGCTTGCATATCAATTATCAGTAGTCACTTCAATAGCACTTACTGTCTGTATTCATGTGACATTTTTATTCATTCAAACACAACTTGCACTACATGACACACTTAATTGAATGACAACAACTATGGTATGGGTTAAAAAAAATTAAATAAAAAAATCACGTGGATATATTTTGGCAAGAAGACTTGGGAGAGTTAAAGAATAATATGTTACCCGTATATCAAAGAAAGGATTGCCAGCTAAATGTGCACCAGTCCCAGCCAAACTGGGTCCAATATCACCATTAGGATTGGGGTCCAAATTTAATGGTTAACCACTTGTAGATACAGCATACAAGGTCCCCTCTCTGCTGAATAAAATTGTCCGGGTAGGCCAAATAAAATATTAAAAGTGGAATCCCCATAGTGAAGGGGACACTTACCTTCATCTACATCATCAGCATGACGTGGAAAGGGGAAGCAGTTGGTGATCTCCAGCCTCTCATCCACCACAAGGCCAAGAAGTACACCCTGTGCCACCTCTGTGTTTCCTGCACCTTCTTCATGGCAGTGTTTAATGATCTTCATTAAAGCCTAAAAAATGAAAAGAACAGAAATTTATAATCACACCTCAATGTTGCAACCGTGAGCATAGCAGTGACTAGACACAAAACCTTCTCTAACAGGAAGAGGAAAGCAAATATGAAGTAGACACCAGTTTATGCCCTGTTATTTATTTGGGGGATCTTCACAGACAAATTACCATAATTTGATAGGCTACACAGATTGAACATTTGGTAGGTAATCAAAATTTTAGCCACCTGCGTTTAATCACAATATACTGTAATAAGTAAGGTGATTTTCTGAACAGCAAATATCCATTTTTTCTGGAAAGTGAAAAGTACTAATGTGTTTACATGGTGAAGTTAGTCTACAATCTTGAGAAGATGTATATAAAGGTGATTTAAAACTTAAGGGCTCAGCATAATTGATGTTTTACATTGTCTAAATGTGCTTAATTAAATCGAGGGTCATCAAATACAGGGTAACAGTAATTATTCAGAATTTTTAATTATAAAAATTGTAAGGCAGCATACATATACGGAAGAGGCTGGTTGATTGCTCAGCGTATATTTAAAATATCCAAATGGAGTTTTAAGGTTTTGATAAAAAAAGCAAATAGATATTAACTGAGAAAGTAAAGTCACATGAGAAATTAACGTAAATCTGCAGTCACCGCGTGTTTACAACCGACCTGTTGAGTCTGAGCTTACTCTCACGTCCAAAATTTTCTTTTAAATTACACAATAATGATTCAACAAAGTTGCTTTCATTGGTACCAAATATCAATATAAGTACTGTACTTTCTGTTTAATATAATGGGGACGGCTAAGAAGTTAGGTGAGGTTTGGGGTAATTATTTACAACTTCACAGCTGCTGATTTTTCACAAAAAACAAATTAAAAAATGCATCAGCATCACCATGTTTTATAGTGAACACTGTCGAATTATTATTTTTTCACAGGGATTATCCCACCCAGACACAGGTCACTGACCCACATTGGGGCCTGGGGGGCGAAAATGTAATAATAAAAACAATAATAATAATAATAATTAGTTCATAGTAAATAAAATTTATAATAAAAAATGATAAATTAAAAATAAAATAATAACAATAATAATAATAATAATAACACTGATAATAATAATAATACAGTGAAATCTCTGTTAGCTGGAACAATTGGTGCAGAGCACTTCTGGAATGAGATTTCCGGGTAACAAGACGACTCTCTCAAAGATGGAAAAAATCCCTCATCCCCAGAATTTTCCGGGTAACGGAAAAATGTTCTTGGAAGTTCTAGAAATTGCCCATTACATCATCTCTTGAACCCGAAAAATATCCCCCATTCCCAGAATTTTCTAGGTAACGGAAAAATTTTCTCAGAATTTAAGGAAAATGTGCCCAGTTTTCATCTCTCAAACCCGGATAAAACTCCCCCATCCTCCGAATTTCTAAATCCCAAAGCCGTAATTTTTCGAAAATACCGGTTTTGGGAAACCAAGATAATTTCAATTTCGGCTCGGAGTTTCGGGTTTGATCCGGCTAACATAAATAAATAAAGAACCATAAAGAAAGACAAAAAAAAAAAAAAAATCAAAAGTGAGAAACAATATACTGTATGTATGTTGTGTTGTCAAAAGTAAGAGAGACAATTGAGACCTGGCAATTGTGTGTAAATGAGGCAGAAAGTCAGATCAGCAACTTGGGACTTGGTCACAATTTTTGTGATGCCATATGGCAGCAGGGTCTACCATTAGACAACACATTATGCTTCCAATATCTTCCCAGGCGGTAGTGCCTCCCTGTTTGATAAGTGCCTACTACATGTGTTAAAAATTGCTTATTTAAAAGTTCAAGTTAAAAGTTAAATTAACCTTAACTTACCTAACCAAACCTAGCATAACTTAACACCTGCCATGGGCGAACTTACTGTTACTGAGACGGGAGGGGGTTTAGGTAGGTTAGGTCATGGCTATGGAGGAAGGGGGGGTTGACAAGTTCAAAATGACTCATTTCTGATGGAAATGAAGGTCAAATTCAAATGAATCACACCAACAATTGTGACCAAGTCCCAGGTTAAATAATGAAGAAAATTTGATGTGAGAATCTTGTGGCAGCTGTGGTTGTAGTTGAGTTGCCAAGCCATAATATAATTTTCTTCATTATTTAAGCAAATATACAAACATTTGGAACTTCTCATGACCTTAAATAGCAATGAATAGTTTATTTTTATAAAGAAGTTACGTTTTGTTTGTTTAATAATTATCCTGACAGTGATACAGCCGAAAACAGATCCACCAATCACCTTTACATACAGCCTTCCTTTACCAAGTATTGCCAGGTAAAATTGTGAGCACGAGACCCAGGGTTGGGTCGGTGCATCTTTGGCTGACTGTACCATCCCTTTCCTTGGGGCGTATAAGTACGAGGAGACACAGTTAATAGAGAATTGTGACGAATGTTAACGGTATTGAAAACCATTAAAAGAGAATGTTCAAAGGAGGGCCACCAGACTGGTGCCTGCACTTCGGCACCTCAACTACCCTGAGAGATTGGAGCGCCTGAACTTGCCTAGCTTATACTACTGACGGGCAAGGGGCGACCTAATTGAAGTGTATAAGCATCTCAAGGGGCACTACTCAGTCGAGTGTCCTTACTTGGAGCCGGCGGACGCTCGCCCCACAAGGGGTCACAGCTCAAGATTGATGAAGCCGCAAGTCCAGAAAACTGTGAGGGCAAACTTTTTCGGAGTGAGGGTTGTAAACTCTTGGAACAATCTACCAGAAAGTGTTGTGACGGCACCGAGTGTGAGCTCTTTCAAGACAAGACTTGACCAACACTGGAGCAGGTTCAGGTACATTCAGGAGCCGGTGCATGCCCAGTATTTGCCAACAGTGCGTAACAGAGAGCCAGTACATGCCCAGTACTTGCCAACAGTGGGTGACAGAGACGTGACCGATTGCCCAAGCGGCTAATGAGCAGATCAGTGGTGAAGAGGATAAAAGTAAATAAGTAAAAGTAAAAGATCCTGTAAAAGTATAAGTATGGCACAGTTACATCATTTATTGCTTATATGTAGATGATATGAAAAGAAGACAGAATGCATTAAATAAAAACACAAAAGAAGAATTAACAGGTATTAACATATTCTAAACTTATTAAAGATGCGTATTTATTTTATTAAAAGGATCAGGAGTAATGGAACAGAATTTATTCAGGTTGATAACAATGAACTATGGTGAAGGCAGGGAAATTGTGAAGCAGGACAGATTAAAGGTAAGAAAATGTTTTGTGGCATTATAAAGCCATAAGATCACTGTTCACCGTGTTTTTACCCCGCAATCTCCCTCATCCTTCATGACAATGTTCCTTAATTTGGCCGCCGTCCTTAATTTAAAGAGAACAATTCTGAAAATACAAAATTAAATGCCATCTGGACGATCACCTATGGCTACGACACATATTGACCTTACCATTACATTTTTGTGGACTTATTTCTCATTCAAATCGTCACACAGCCTTTTAAGATAATTATAAGTTGACTCACCAAGCCTTCCAGCTGCACCACATTGATATTACAACGGCCATTGTCGGCTTCTCTCTTGGCACGCCCGGACGACATGTTGACAGGCTCTAGAGGAACAACGAGTACGACCCTAAACCTGTTGGACTGTTTACTTTACTTGTGAGAAAAACTTGTAAAATATACACAAATATTTATAGTAAATGCACAAAAATAGTTTTTAATATTTATAAACTGCTACATATCTACAAGAATATTTTTAACACATAGCAATTTAAAAAACTTTCCTGTGCTGAGAAATTGTATTCTCTTATCGATTTAAAAAAATATTAATAAATAAATAAATAAATACATAAATATATATATATATATGGAAAAGTTTTCTGTATAAAAAATAGATCATGATTTAGGGAGTTTTGCAAAAGACACCATTTACAATTAAGGTAATTAAAGAAACTGGAACACCACTTACGTGCATATGAATTTTTATCTTCAATATTTAGATCGGATTATTTGACGTTTCTATTTCGAAGTATTGTAAATGAAATACACCTCAATATTCCTGTATATAAGACAAGGAACATTTTACTAACATATTTAGGCTTGTAGGGTTATAGACAAAGGAGCTTCGGTATGGAGCCCTTCCTCCCACCAGAGTGAAGAAAATTAGTTGAATAAAAAGAAAGAAATGATGCAATAGATATGTTTGAACAAAAGTAAACGTATGAAGGATGAAGAGGAGATAGGCATAAAACTTGGGGACCTTAAGTGAGAGCTGGATGGATAGAGAGCGACTGATTGTTGAAATTTGACAGATTGGTTTGTAACGTAAATGGAACTGAATTTATTTTGGAGGAAGGCCAAGATCATAGAGCCAGGTCATATATTTCCTTTACTTTGTAAGCTATAATCCTTGCATGTCCACATATTCCCCCATTCATGTCATATTATAGAACAGTACCTGATACTACAACGTGAGGGCTACTTACTGGCTTCACTTCAAAATGATTTAAAAACTATGCAGTTTTTAAGGCATTTTAGATAGTTTTTGCTAAGCTTTAGGTCGAGTTATCCAGCTACAGTCTTATATATCCACTTGAAAGGCGACTTCAGTTTATGAACCTATGGGAATTGGACACTTGAATTATGGGATAAATTATTTACATCATACAAGAAACAATTTAAAAGTTAACTTACATTGATGTGTTTAGTGCAAGCATCATTCTAGTTGTTGCATGCATTTTCTTATCTCCCACACTGAATGGACAATAAATAAAAGCAGTACACTATCTGTATTGTGAAACCTAATTCTTTAAATTATGAATACACAATCTGCCAACAGCGGCAACCACACTATAAACTTAATGAGTGTTTATTAAGTGACAATAAAGTCCTGATACATAGATGTGTGATCGGATATAACTGTCTGGCTAACTTTGGCTAACAAGGGCAGCGGTCAAAATAGTATTGTACTAAAATTCCATCATGCCTCAGCAGAATCGTATTTTCATCCTCAACTGTTGATAAATTTACTTGTAATAAGTCCATCCTCCTTTGGTAAGTTGACAGGACATTTACTAGATTCTCGGTAAAGAAGACATTCCTTTGGTATTTAAGATTACATAGTTACACGTAAAACCAGTGACTGAACGGGAGGGGGGAGGGATGGCCCTTCGTCTCAAGCCTATGTGCCCTTTTGCTGTTCACTTAGAAAAATACTGTCAACAACTAATAACATGTTATTAGGTCATCTGAATAGCAACTAGGATTTGCACTTTTTTATTATTCCTTTCAAAATAAGCTTACTTTGTGGATGCAAATCTTGAATGACACTATTTTCTCAACGAGGCTTGTTGGGTGAGAAAGAACCCGTCAATGTTATCTCTACATTACGACACTGGATGTGCTTTATCGTCTAACTTGTTGTGTTGGCAGGCAAACGTTCAGGCACCCTCGTGCAGCTTTTCTGTTTTTGTAATGTAGGCTTTTTTGTGCATTTGTAGTTGACTGTTTGTGATAATGGTTGAGTTGCTAGTGATTGAGTTTGGTAGCTGTGTACTGAATTATGTCTGGGGACTGATAGTTTATAAATTGGGTTGATATAGTCTAGGACTCTAGGTTATACACACACATATATATATATATATATATATATATATATATATATATATATATATATATATATATATATATATATATATATATATATATACAATAAACTTATCTTTCACACTGCGGGGGAGAAGAGGATCTTGAAAAGCCAAAGCACAAAAAATCCTCGTTTATTAAAAATACAAGCAGTATTTAATCTGTTTAATAAAATTCGTAAGCCATTTTTATTTAGTTTTATTAGGGTAAAAGAAAAGTTTGGCACAAGTTATACTAAATAAAAGGCCCCAAGGCTTGTGACGTCATAATTGTATTTTCACGTGTTATGTCATGACCTTCCTTTTAGACGTCACAACCAGACCCCTTGATTGACACCCCAGACCCCCTCCTCTAATGACGTCATACTCATCCTCAGGTGTTATGATTGTCAGGTTATAAACCGAAGAGTTAATTTCCAAGATGCGGTTCACCATGATAGGATATGCGTTTCATATCATCAAGACAGGAATTAATCCGTTATGTCGGAAAACAATATATATTCCTAATATTGTTATTAACAGATAAAAATGCCGCCTCTCATGTTTTGGAAATTAACTTTTCAGATGGAACACATTTGGAAAACTTTCTTCAGTAACATTAAAATCTAAAAAAAAGTCATACACTAGGATAATTCTTTCACTAGGAAGGTAAAGTTTAAAAGCATGTTGATTATCCCTAGATCATCTACGTCAACACAAGAGATACCGCTTGATGATATAAACGTTGACATAAATCTATGTACCAAAATGGACGATTAAAACGTTGAAATGAATTTGTTCCCGTTGCCTTTGGATTGCAATGGTGCTTAGCTAATTCGGTGCCCAAACAAAGGTGTGGTTAAGTTAACTTTCGTCATGTTCATTGTCTAATTTGTGTATTCACTCAATCACTCATACAGGGCACCGTAAGGTAAGAATGTTTCCTCCACATTTGTGTACCTTATATAAAAAGCGTATTAAAGGTAATAGCCACTGTTTATAACACTACATGTAATAATTCATAACAAATTCTTATAAAAACCTTAAAATTCATCCTTTTGTTACTTATAACTCAATACACATTACAGAGTTTGTTATGGGGAATAAGCACCTGGCAGCTTTGTTGGCTATCCTTAGTCATATGCCTTACTGTTTACCATTGTTTAATTGAACTGTCTCGGCACACAGGAAACTGTATACCCCCACGGCTTACCTCCACCGTATACCTGTACTGTCTATATTCAAGCTGCACTGTACAACTGCATAGTTTATATAAAAAACTGATGCAATTGTAAACCTGTATGACAATTTTACTGATTATTATTATTATTATTATTATTATTGTAACAGTAAATGTCTGATACCTCATTACCACAAAAAAACACAACCATATGCTGTATGGACACCATGATGACTTACATTGTTTTTATCAACTTCTGTTAGGGACTATTAGACACTGTAGGGCTGAAGGTCGAATGGTGGCGAAATATACAGTAAAGTTGAACACCTTAAAAGTACTACATCAGTTATGTATTTGTTTCATGTAACGGACAAACAACTTTACAAATTTAACAAAGTATAACTGCATTAAATAATTTCATCTATCACAGCAATTTAACACAACAACAAAAGTCATAACACGAATGATCACTATACACGTATAGGCTCAGATGGCAGTGATGTTTTGAACTTTACGGACAAGAGTCAGACTGTCTCCAGCTCCTGGGATATAAAGCTATAAAAGATCGTAACAATGCTATAAAAAATCGTTGCATGAAGACCTGCAATCTATTCTAATAGTATAACGCTACATAATGTTATAAAATATACAATATTTTGTATCTCAACGATAAATTGTCAGGACTGTGGCTAGCGCCCAGGCCCGGTCCTAAATTTAACTACTGTATATTGTAAACTACTCTTCACGTAGTGCGTGTACTTTAATGAATTTGATCTCATTTATGTGAAGGCCATTTATTTTATACTCAGGTTACGAAATACTCGTGTAAATTGCGAGCCGGACCCAAGTGTGTCTGCTGCCATTCCTAAATTATTGACGCTGGAACCAAGTTTAGTTCAGGTTCCATGAACTACGATTGAAATATCTGCCTAAAAATTCTTTGAAGTAATGTCTCCAAAGACGTAACTATATTAATGTAATCAATCGTCAATCATTTGACAGACCGACTCCTGATACAGTGGAATAGGTCCATTGTACCCTCAGACTATTAAAGAGCTACTCCATAAAGTTAAGACCAAACAAATCTGAAAGACTGATTTCGGGAATCAGAGAATTGTTCAGAATATAAAAATTTATCTAAGATACAGGTCATTTAACATGGGTGAACACAGTAATTGGTCCCGCCCGGCTGGAGACTAGGCTACCAGAGACATGGAGGGGGGAGACTCAGTTTGTCACCTACTGCTTGAGGTGACAAATGGCGGCCAGCACTAGCAGCAGAAATCAGTGTACTGCTACAAATTCTCGAGTGCATTCTACGCATATTTAAACACTTAAGCCTTTTATAGGTGTCCCAGACAGAAAGTTAGGCGTATAGATGGTAACTCACAGCAGTTGCTATTGGTTTCCCCGCCACAACACCTCGTCAACACTTCCTTGACTATTTACTGAAAATATCGAGGCGTCTCCCTGCTTCAAGTCTCTCAGGACAGCTTCTCCCCACCTCACAACAGTCGAGGTTCCATTATTTATGACCTTATATTTATGTACTGTAGTAACTAAAACAACTATCTGTGCAGGTGGGGGTCGATATGCTCCGAAATTTTACAGATAGTTGTTTTAGCTACGTGTACATACGGTATACCGCAAATTCATTGTTGACAACCATTAGTCTTAACATTAATTCACTGTACAGTACATGGATTGCTGATGCTTTGATTTATGCCTTTTTATGAGACAAGTGCATTCATCAACAAGTCGAGAGCATTATAGTGATGAACATTTAACAATAACTTAATATCTCTGATGTTATGAATATTAATTTAATGGTAAGTTTTCAAAATATTCCTCCATTTCATTTAGAATAAGGTAAGCAGGAAATAAACATGCTTCTATAATTTGGTCTCCGACATATGGACGGTAGGTAACATTGAAATAGGCACTGTACCTTTCACTGGAACACAGCGTACGGTTAATTGGTTGCATAGTTCACTTATTGCTGATAAAATATATTTCCTTAAACAGTATCTTTATTACATATAGAAGAAAGCCTAAGATAGTCATCTTTTTTAAATAAATCTTTCAATAGTTGCAGTAACACGGAAAAAATTAAATGTCAATAAAGAACTTTTTACAATTAAGTAAACTTCGCTAAGGTGACGCACACATCTGTTTGTACCACAGGACAGTACAGTACAGTACATGGAAATTTCACCCAAGTATATATTGGTTTCCTTAACAACACTTGGATAACTTCTTCATGAACAAGGTTGAAGGTCTCGACCCTGGGATAGTGAAGAGAACCTAATAGGTGAAGAGCCTTGGTGAACAAAAAGGTCCTTTAGACATCCGACGAAGGCCCTATCGAAGTGTCCCTCTGTACCGTAGGAGACAGACACGTCAGCGGGGAAGCCACCTGTAATGTAACTTTATTAAACTATGTACTTCTGTGTCATTCATTCATATGTAGATGTATATGAAAAATAAAAAATTGAAACTATTATTGTCATTATAGAAGTTAATATATTATTTTATTATTAGGATCATTATTATAAAGAACTTACCGACGTAAAGACCTTGAGACTCATTGATCTGTGTGTAAGTGCCGGGCGACGAGGCCTTATCTGGGCGGCCATCGAGGAAGACGGTAACCACGGCACCCGTCCGCGACACCACCAGGCTGTGCCACTTCCCATCCCTCACACTCCCTGAGGGAAACGCTGACTTATGGAAGATGTCATATTGGAGGAGACTATGAGGAAGTTCTTCAGGGCGTTAAGGGAAGGTAAGGGCCCTCCAGGGATTCATTATAACATGAGGGTGGATGTGTTTAGTCTCTATCTTGCTGGGAGGTCCTGCTGACACATGGATATACTGAAGGAACCTACTTAAGAAATGTTCTAAAATTGTCGCATGGAAACACCTCCAAACTTTAAGAGAGATGTCACAAGGCTTGATGTCACTTGACTTCCTTCAGTATAGTATGTTACCAAACTAACTACCAGAAACTTTAAGAGGAAGTTGATGCAAAAATACCACAACACATAAACAGAAGTATCTTACACACTCCGCGTTGAGAGATAGTGGTGAAGGTACTGGGGCCAGATTCTCAAGGGTTAACTCGATGTCCATAATAAAACCCAGGGGATTAATTAAGCTAAAATACATAATCATTCTAAATGGCAATAAAAAATACAATGCATCTGTAATGTAACTCGAGTCTCTTAACAACAATTCGGGGATAAGATTAATTAAAATATTCCTCTGCATTGATGACATGACTTTTGTGCAATCTTGTGTGGATAGCAGACTGACAAGGGCACAGGTAGATAGGTGACTCACTAGATGTGGTGAGGTGACCGAGGGTGCCCCCACCTAGATGCCACACTACTTTCACACGCCCACCATACATGCCCACGCCCAGGAAGTCCTCCCCAGGCACGTCAACCTGCAGCACAACGACAAAAGGCTACAGTGTAAACATTCACATTGGAATTTGTAATAAAGTTTAATACAATGGGAGAACCATGGTAAGACATGTGGTGAGCAATCAGAAGGAGGGAATCAATGCAACACGACGAAGGAAGACGCAGTGTTATTTACCTTAACCTTCCTCGTATATCATGGTAAAAAAAATATTTCGCACATGAGAGCTCACCTGTCCTCGCCAGAGCAGGAGGCCGTGTGTGGCGGTGGTGGAGAAGTTGAGTGCCAGGGAGTCAGTGTCCGGTGCGGGGCTGCCGTAAGGTCCCTCAGGCACTAAGGCAAAGCTCCCGCCAGAGAACTTGACAGATCCCACCTCCCCTCCTGCAGGCGACAACAGTATCTAGTACTCTATGGCCGGATTAGTGTCTTCTATGTGTGTTCATGCTAGTATTGATCAGTCTGTCTCTTTGAATAAGTAAGTTTCAAAGTTTCGGATATAAAGCAGCTGTACAAACTGACATGTCTAAGTAATTATTCTAGAGAGAGAGAGAGAGAGAGAGAGAGAGAGAGAGAGAGACTGACCTGTCTGACAGCGACTGCCATAGTACCCGGGAGGACAGACACAGTAGTAGCTGCCATCTCCCACTTCCCTCTTCCACACTTCATCCACGTGGACAGCTTCTTCCTCCTGTATGACGATTCCCTCTTGTCTCCTCAAAGGCTGGTCCCTCTCAATGCCTCCTTTCTTGCTTATAACAACGTCTCCGTCTTTCCAAATGGCGCTCTTTTCCTTTTTGACAAGTTCTTCCTTATGGAAATCGTCCTCCATTGTGATAAATTCCTCTTTCTCGATCCCTTCTTTCTTGCTAACAGCTAAGCCTCCATCTTTACTGATGAAGTCTCCGTTCTCCCTTACAAGTTCTTCCCACTCAGCGCCTTCTCTCTTGTCCACACTTTCTTCTCCATCTTCCCATATAAAGTGTTCCTCCTTCACGACTCCTTGTCCTACGACCTGTGTGTCTACCCCGGCTGCTCCCTCTTCGCCAGACACAGAGTGGCGACGTTTCTTCTTATTACCGAAGGAGGTCTGGGAGGGCACACAAGTCGCTCCGTTGACACACAGGTTGTCGAGACAAACCCGGGAGAGTTGGCACCTCGCTCCTGTGTATTCCTGAAGGAAGTGATTAATACGGATATTTCATTTTCAACCCACAGACTGTTATGGTTAGGTTAGGTTAATTCAGATCAAACAGCTGGAGTGTGGTTTACCTCGGTGCAAGTGCAGACGAAGGTATCACCGGCGGGGGTACAGGTGCCACCGTGGAGACACACCTGACTGCCACACGCGGTGCCATCACAGTCGCTCAACCCGGCACCCCTCACCACCTCCCCACCAGGCACCCGCAGGTCGCGTTCCACACCGTTGATTTTCACCTACAAGGGAAAGGTGACTCTACAGGTGTTCAGAGAGAGAGAGAGAGAGAGAGAGAGAGAGAGAGAAAAAGAGAGAGAGAGAGAGAGAGAGCCTACCTGTCTGAAGCAGCCATGGAAGGGAACCCGACTGCCTGAAGGAGCCACAGCAGGAGGCACAAGGGAAGCGTCTGGCACACCACCTGCGTCACACAACACAACTTTAGTGGAAATCACCTGAACATTAGGCACCCAAGCTTACTTCATGGGATGATTAAACCACCTGACGCTAACCTAACCCAACCAAAACAACTGGTCTAATCTGACCCAACTTAACCAAACCCAGCCTAACCTAACCCCCGTTAGTGTGGTTAGGTTACAATATATCGGAATACTAAGATAGCGGATATATTAATTATCGAGATTAAAATACTAAAATACTGTTGACCGTACAGTAATTAATATTTCAATAAAATATATTATTATGATTATCATTATTATTACTTTTATTATTATTATATTATAAAAATTATTATTATTATTATCGAATTTATTAATATTAAAATTATTATTGTTATTATTAGTAAAGCTGCTATTTGTATTATTATCATATATTATTTATAAATTTTATCCACAACCAACTTTGTATTTACACATGATATCAAAACGTCGTTAATGAATTCTTTAATGTAAAAGACAAAAATAAATCAATAACAGTCACTATCTCTCACACAACGAACACAATAGGAAATGTCAACAAACTCACCCAGAAATACTGCTCAATTCCCGAGTATTTTTTTCCTCACAGGATGAAAGACACAGCCAGATAACTTTAGAATATGAGTTAATTTACGTTTCGTTTGTTTAAATTTCTCGCTATTATGGAGGTTAAATTCTCTTAGTTCAGTTTAGTTTACCAAATATGGGAATCTGAGCTGACTAAACGTGCGTTGTTCATCCTGGGTAAAACTTAAAAACTTAAAAAAAATATAAGATTATTTGTAATTTAGTTTTTTTATAGACTATTACTAGGTGGGTAAAGGGTTCGTTATATAAGGAGGGATGATGCGCATAAAAGACTCAAGCATGACTACGTATATGCAGAGGGATCTTATATAGAAAATGACGTGTACAACTGACCAAGGAACAATTCGGTGTGTACATCAAGGAGGGTGAGTGTAGGGGCGGGGGAGTGAGCCCTTGTGGTGGTGCCCTTGAAGGTAATGGCTCCATCCCCGCCCCGCCGCCATGCCTTCACCGTCTGCCACTCCTGCAGCTTCACCACGCCCTCGGATCGAACCACCACCAGACCAGGCGCCCGCCATCCTGATCACAAGATATAGGGGGAATGTTGAAGGGGTTAGTGATGGATCTCTCCCTCTCTCTCTCTCTCTCTCTCTCCGCACCCCATATGCACATGGCCTATCTATATATCTGACTCACTCTCTCTCTCTCTTACCCCGCCATTCTCTCCCTCAGTCTTACCCAGGTGATAGGTGAACTGCATAGTGCCGTTGACAATTGCCAGGGCCATGAAATCTCCCGGGGGTGTCCTGGGCAATGCCAAAAGGAGGATACCGTCGAGACGAGAGGGCCTGAAGGAGATCTCTATATGGGATTCCCGACGAAGGTTCCTGGCTCTCACGCTCAAGTAGGACTCTTTACCCGAGAACTGAGGGTCTGTGATGTTGATGACTGTAGGAGAGAGGGTTAGGTTAGGTTAGGTTAGGTTAGGTTAGGTGAGGTTCAGGTAGTAATCAGTGTACACAGTATATTTACCTCTCTCACACAGCGGCCCCGTCCTGCCCAGCTGACAGAGACATGTGGGTTGAGTCCCTAGTGACCCGCCTGACAGACACGACGAGCCGGGGACACACGACCCTCCGCCCTCACACAAGTGGCTCGCTACCTCACACCTCAGCCCTTTCCACCCGACAGAACACTCACACCTGTAGGAGAGAAACATGTGATTTACTTAGGAGTTTTATTCGTCTAAGTTACTGGATGTGTACAGGCAGTCAGGTACTAATTAGGCTCTATGTTCAGGTACTAATTAGGCAGGTAAAGGATTTAATTGGGTACCTGTTAATTACCCACTTCCTGTTAAGGTTTGAATACCTCAATTTTAGGCCTTCAGATTTTAGAATTGTACTCCGAAAACAGTCGGCCATGTTGTTGTCTAATTAAAAAATATATATATATTAATAGGCCTATAAAAACAAAATAATTATAGCTTAGAATATCATTAGTTTTTCGAGATGAGGAACTGTGTGGTGGGTGGTGGTGGGTTGTGTGGTGGTGGGTTGTGTGGTGGTGGGTTGTGTGGTGGGTGGTGGAGGGTTGTGTGGTGGAGGTGAATGACTAAGTGCCAACATACCTGATGGTGGCACCGAGGGGAAGGCAAGTGCCACCATTGAAGCAAGAGTCATGGTGGCACTCGTCCTGGCCACACTCCTTCACATTGGCACCTCCGGAGATCCTGAGTGCCGTCCAGGGCCCCGCAGGACTACTCGCCACACGCAGGTCAAACACACACCCCCGGAATCCTTCATGGCGCCACATGTCCGCCGGGAGATGACTCATGTTCCACGATGGGTGACCTCCTGCCGCAACCAACAGAGGTCAAGAGGTCACAAGACAGCAAAGGTAACAGTGACTTGTTTATATCCCCCCCCCCCACCCCAACACAGCTTAATTTTTGGGTCACCTGCACTTCAGTTTATTTCACTTGATGATTAAACACTCTAATGCTGACCTGACCTGACCTGACCTAACCTGTTCACCCGCTATATAATTTGTGGATTAAACATATATCAATTAGCAACCTGCCTGAGGTGATACATGTATGACAGACAGACACTGAGACTATTACCGATATATAGCATGTTGTTGGTGTTAAGGGAGGAGAGATAACCGGGTGCCTTGGCCGAGATGTTTTTCTGGGAGTCCACCAATAGCCAAGCTTCCCGCCCTCTTCGACCAATCAGCGCCGAGTGTGTGTGTAATGTTGTGTCTAGGGCTTCTGACGTCAGTATCCTTCGTGGACCTGAAGAAATAATAATAGTGATAAACAATAACAACGATAATACAGTAATAAGAGAGAGAGAGAGAGAGAGAGAGAGAGAGAGAGAGAGAGAGAGAGTATATATTTACCGGCTCCCAGATCCCAGGTGAGCATAAGGTGTCCCCTGACGAGGCTAAGGGCGAGGAAGTCCTGGCGAGCACTCCTGACGTTATTACCTAGATAGGCTATCAATCCCACCTGCTGCAGCGCCTGCGTCGTGAAGTGCAACCTGACCCAACACACAAAAAAACAAATGAGTGTCCCAATGCGCATGTGAGGGAAAACAAATGATAGACGATATACTACAAGTTTGGGTAATAAATAAATACAAGTTTAAGTGTATTTCCATGATAAAGGGAGTATTTGGGGGTACCTGAGCGCCGTGGTGTGGGTGACATCATAGTGAAGGCGGTACACAGAGTATGAGCTGTAACCCTCGATGGTACCAGAGTATGAAGGTCTTTCCACAACCCGCTCTGACACACACACGATAAGGAAGAAAGATTAAACCTATTTGATGATACGACCCATGAACATCTATAACAGTATAACATCGTAGATCATCCATGCTGAGGTTGTATGAGTCATTTATATAATCAACTCACCTAGTTCACAGTAGAGCCCATGACGATGGGTTGGACAAAGGCAGAGTGGGTGTGTGTGGTGGGTAGGAGGAATGCACTGCCCACTGTGGCATGGGTCTCTCTCACCACTACCACAATCAGCCTGCTCACACAATTCTCCCTGGTACCTGCAACACCACAATCAACACTTGAGAGAGAGAGAGAGAGAGAGAGAGACCAACTAATACCCCAAAACCCGCTGTGAAGGAAATGAGAAGGAGGAAGTGACAATAAGCTGCTGTAATGAGGAGGACTTACCCCGGGGGACACCTACAGGACCACAGGGCAGGACCAGGCACGCAGGATCCACCGTTGTAACAGGACCCTGGAGGACACGGGGCCGTCCCACACTCCTCCACACGCTCCCCTGACACACTCGATAACCATATGTCGATCTCCCGCCCGTTTACCTGTCGATAAAACATAGGTGAGGGAAGAGAGTAGATTGAGGGGACACACACACACACACACACACACACACACACACACGAGAAGGGGATGAAATATTGACTGATTGTGGGGGGAGATAAAACACAGGAACACAAAAGGTCTAAAGGAAAGAAAGAAAAAAAACGTCTAAACTCGTGTGACTTATACCTCGAGTAAGGAGACGCAGCCTTTAAGCCTTGGGAGAAAGCCAGCCTTGACCACGAGGGGGGAGGAATAGGAGGAAGGTAGACCCCCAAGGTATAGCAAACCCAGCCGTACCCAGCGACTTGAGGCTCTCTGTTCACTGTAGATAGGAGCTGACCCGTTCACCTGAGAGACGAAAAATGGCGTAGTTATGAGTCTAATTTGTATACAATGGAAGCTAATTACGTAGTTATGAGTCTTATATAATCACGTAGTTAAGTCTAGTCTGAAAACACTATATACTGTACATATCAAGGAGAGTATACATACCAAGCTTCAGTACTTAGGTAAAGTATACAGTGGATATATCAAGTGGTCGAGGATCATAGATTTGCAATCAGCATGCTCAGGAGTACATATACTGAGATTTTCAGCAAAATCAAATTTTTGGCCAAAAACACAAGTCTTACACCTTAGTAAATTTTGACCAAAATAGACTTTTCTCTCGGAATTGGAATTTGAGGGGTTTAACCAATTTATTACTTCCAGAATAACACAAAAACACCAAAATCTCACCTGGGAAACCCATAGTTGGCTACAGTGCCGGATGAACCATGAGGCACTTGAGTCACTGGCCTCAGGCCCCCCGACTCTAAGGGGCTCCCAAATCCAAACATTCTCGAAGTTGAAGCATATAAAACATGAACTTCGTTCAACGATGTCCTAGCAACGTCTCAATTATTTGTCTCTTATGAACATTGGATGTGTTATTTTGCAGAAGCTTAATATTGATGAAATCATTGATAAATTTTGTTATATATATATATATATATATATATATATATATATATATATATATATATATATATATATATATATATATATATATATATATATATATATATATATATATATATATATACCTTGAGGGTAGGGGGCCCGAAGTTGATCTGTCCCTCAGGCCCCTATTAAGCTTAATCCGGCCCTGTTTGGTAGAGTTAAACCTCACCTGCATCGAAGCACTACACTTGCCAGGGCCCCAGGGAGCGTCGAGTCTGTAGGGCGTCCACCACATCCTGTAGAGACACAAATACACTCCGTCAGGTTAGGTTAGGTCAGGTCAGATTAGGTTTGGTTAGGTTTGGTTTAAATTATGGGTGCACGAGGACATTGAGTTCACACACACACAAAACTACCCCCTCAAAACACTCGCCCTATACCACTTATATTACCTACCTGACGGAGACATCAGTTCTATGGTTACTGGCGAGCTTCTCGTTGCCCTGTAGGAAAGATACTGTCTGGAGGCCACAGGAGAAGACGAACTGCAGGAGAGAGTTTCTGAGGAGTAGCATGAAGAAGGCGTCGCTGGGGCCCTCGCTGTAAGCCACTAAGCCATTGGGTTCCTGGGAGGTGAACTGCACGTATACCTGAAGAAGGAACCCAGAGGTACTCCCATTAGAGCCTGGACACTTCACACCCCAGGAAATATTTTTGGGGTGATAATTTACTTTAAATATTAAAATCCTGATGTAATTTAGGTAACAATTGACTTAAAACAATAAAGGCATATTTAGATAACAATTGACTCGGAATAATTAAAGGCTCTAGATTACTTAACTTAACCCAACCTAACCTAACTTACCTCTCATCACCCCCCCTCCCACTAACCACCCTCCCCCTCCCTTACTTACCTGAGCACCTTGATATAAGGACATATTGCCAACGTTGATCCCGAGGAAGGAGGCCCCGACGAAGTAAGGTTTATTGATGTACACGTAGACTTCACAGGAGGCTCCTCGGTAGTTGAAGGGACACTGACACTGGGGGGTGAGAGGATGGCGGTCATTCAGTTGATGGCTCAGGTCATTCAGGTCACTCGGAGTCAATCAATTAACCTGTGGATCAGCTAATTTACTGATGTTATTATAAGCCTATCAGTAAAACCTATTCAAAGGGGGCCACTATCACCACCATCACCTGGGACAATCGTAACACCTGACAGATCACCAATATCACAGATTCAACACCTCGATAACCTGTATGAATCATCAGTGAGTCAATAGAGCTTATCAGTGGAATAGCTGTCACCCTTTCCCCTGACCCCAATACACCCCTGACCCCAATACACCCCCCCCCCTCAAGAGACGGACGAACAAGAGTCAATGTGTTGAGTGTATAGGGAGGGGGGGGGGGATGGATCACCTGAAGATTAGACACCCTTGTTATTTCACCTAATGATTAAAACACCCAAACGCTACTAACCTAACCTAATCTAACCCATTCCCTTCAGGTAACGTTAGGGTGGAATAAGCTCGGGTGTCTAATCTTCACGTAGTTTTGGGATAAATAAGACGCGTTTTTAACATCTGCCTTATTTAACAAGGCTCCCGATGTTATCCTTCTAATTAAAAAAAGAAGAAAATAAATCGTAGATCACAAGAAAAAAATAATAATAGTATTAAAGTTTGTAAGTATGGCTAAGAGGTTACATTTCCACCACCACCACTATCAACGCCACCATCAACCACTACCACCACCATTATTATCACCACCATCAATCACCACCACCACGAGCCATCTTCAGATCAAACAACAAACCAAGAGAGACAGTACAGGCAAACAAACTAAAACAGATTCGAGCAAAGATATCTAAGAAAAGTTATTAGATATCTTATTTCCTGGTCACGTTATCTATCTTTCATGGATAAGAAAGAGTTGAGATGCAGTCGTACCTTGAGTCGGGATGGTGATAAGCGAGGCTATTACCACACAGGATGGGTTTCCTCCAGGTGCCATTCCAACTGTGCAGTCACCACACACACTCTCTACTCTTATAGGAATTAAGTCTATTTATTTCTGTCTGTTTTAAATTCACTCTCTCTCTCCCTCTCTTGTCTTTTCTCTTTATTCTCTCCCTTATTCCTGTCTCTTTTCTGTCTTTTATTGGTTCTATGTAGGACGCTATCAAGTAGAGTCCCAGTGTAATTCGGATGTCATTCAAGCGGTATCTGTTAGCGAGTCAGTCAGCTGCGTTCTTTAATTACCAATTACGAGGAAAAAATCAACCTACGAACTATTGAGAATCCATCTGTGTTGTAGCTTAAGGCAGCCAGTGAAGTCCGCATTTTTTGTTATATATTCAGTTAAGATGATTCAGTTTAAAGACAGTTTTAGTGACGCCCGGAACTGAATGATTCCTGGTGTCCTACAAGGCCCTATCTCCCGTTCCTCGTCTCTACCTATAGTGCTACCCACCAGTCTTCATTTTAAGTCTCTGTATACAGCATCTCGTTGTCTACAAGATCAAACTTCATCTTGACAACCAAATACATTCTCAGGCAAGATATTTATACAGATGGTCAGATCACGTGAAGATTAGGCACCCAAGGTTATTTCACCTGATGATTAAACATCTTAACGATACCTGGGAGGTGTGTTCTTATGGTTTATTTTCTTCGCCACTGATCGGCTCGTTAGCGGCTTGGATGGTCGGCCACGTCTCTGTTACGTACTGTTGACATGTACTGGACATGTACTGGCTCCTGAATATATCTGTACTTGCGTCAGTGTTGGTCAAGTCTGGTCTTGAAAGAACTCACACTCTCACACTCGGTGCCGTCACAACGGTTTCCGGCAGATTTTTTCAAGAGTTCACAACTCTCACTCACTCACTGACTGACTCGACCCCAAAAAATACTTTAGAAGAGTAGCTAGCGGGGCTCAGTAAGTCTCTGTTTGAATTATCTGGAATTCTCTTTCATGTCTGTGTGCGGAGGATCAAGAGAGAGAGAGAGAGAGACGAAATGTGTAGAAAGACAAGACAGCTACGACAGCAATAACGTGCTTAATTAACTATGTAATTACTACATTGAATCAGGAGTGCTTGAGGACATTCTTGTGGTTTATCCAAAATTGCTGCTGGTCCACACTTATTAGTCCTCAAACAGAATATGACTTCTAATGTATATGAACCTCTGTCCTGCGTGGCAGTGAACAGTGATATCACCCGCAGTGTTAAATCCTGACTGAATTATTCAGAATAGGTAAACTGTACTCCAAGTTCTACCAATAAAGTTGTTAAACTAAAAACACTAATTAACTTGCTTTAATTAACAGTATACAAAATGAATTCTTAAGTCACAATCATTCCCAACAACATATTAATTCAGTGTGAACACTTAGCTGAGTCGTGAGTCATTCAATTTACTTGTATCTATTCTGAGCTACAGATACCCTGCAGGTGGTAAGGGCGGCGGCTATACTCACAGTGTAGTTACCGTCGCGGAGGACGCACACGCCCCGGTTGCGGCAGAAGCCGGTCCCACACGCCACAGCTGTCGGCTGATCACTTTGAGTCTCCGTGGGCGTGACAGGCGTAACGATGGTCGCACCCGGCTGTGTTACAGTGTGTAGGTCTCTGGGGCTCGTAGGTGTCATACTGGGGGTCGTGGGGGTCATACTGGTGGTCGTGGGGGTCATACTGGTGGTCGTGGGGGTCATACTGGTGGTCGTAGGGGTCATACTGGTGGTAGTCTTGGGAAGCTGAATTGGTGTCTGCGACGTGGTGTCAAACACAGGGTCCTTGACACTGAAACTGGCAGTGTAGTCACGCTCACCAGGTCCAGTCGTGGTGTCCACTTCGGAGGTGGGCGTGGGCGGTGTGAGCGTCTCAGTTATCTGGAATGTAATGTTGGGTTCCGTAGTGGTGAGGCTGACGAGAGAAGTGGGTGTGGTGGGAGGGAAGGAAGAGGGGGGAAAGGTGGGGGTGGGTGTTTGTGAGCTCTCAGTAGTGGACTCACTCGTCGAGGGAGGAAGCAAAGGTCCTTCAGGTGGAGGAGACAATGGAACCTCTGATGCAATGGAAGAAACTGCTGTCGTGGTAATATTAACCCCGTTCAAGGAGACATTATGAAGATACTCATAGTCGGGTAGTGTGACATTCTCGATATCTTCAGCGGGCTCAGTCACCAAGGTGAACATGTCTATTAAGCCAGTGGTCGGTGGCGTGGCTGGAACTATAGCTGTCGTGGTTCGTGTGTCGACTACACCATCAGTAGTCACGCCTGTTGGCTCAGTGTCCACCTCCGTCGCTACTGAGGTTTGTGGTCCCTTTTCAGTGGAGGGTGGAACTTGAGTCACAGGCCGGAGTGCGTCTATCAGTGGCGCCTCTGCAGTAGGTGTTACCGAAGGCGGAATTTCCACTGCACTATCAGTACTGTAGGTCGTCATGTCTGTCGTGTAACTGTCGTTTACGGTAATAAAATAGTCGTCTGGAGTCGTTTGGTCGACGGCAAGAGAGGCATTAAATGTTGTCTTCTCAGTGACGTAAGAGAATATGGTGGTGTAATACGGGGCGTGTATGGAAGTGTTGACTGTGGGGTAAAACTCGCTTGTGGGCGTAGTGTCGTAAGTCGAGAGTTCCGTAGTAAGAGAATCATTCACTAATGCGGTCTCTGTCGTAAGGGAAGCATTAAACAGCGTTACGTCTGTCGTGAAGGACGCATTTGTGGCGATAAAATCTCTCGTAAATAATGAATCGATCAGCGTAGTTATACTTGGAGTGTATGAGTCGTTATATGGCAAGACATCTGTGACGAGAACTGACTCGTTAAACAGCGGTACACCTGTCGTTAATGATTCATTATATACGGTGACGTCAGTCGACTCTGTCCCGGGGATGCTGGTCACCTCAGTCGTGATATTGTCATAGACAGTCACACCTGTCGGAGTTGTGGCCTGTGTGGTAAGTGGTGGGGTGACTGTCTCTGTTACTGTCTCTGTTACTGTCTCCTTCGTGGTTTCTACATGTACTGTCACCTCGGCTGTTGTTTCAAAGCCTGGTGGCGGTGTGACAGTTTCATTATATACATCAGCAGGTAGAGGAGAGGTGACGTTATACTCCATAGTTATGTAAGTTATGTTCGTATCTACTTCCGTTGTTGCGTAAAACGTTGACGTGGAAATCTCCGTGAGGATGTCTGGCGTGGACGGGGTAACTAAACCATCTGTAGGTGGAGTAGTATCTATGGTACCTCCCGTGTCTTCATAATCTGGCGGTGTTGTGATCAGGGACACGTTGGTGGGCCCTCCCGTGTCCTCGTACCCTGGAGTAGTGGCTGCCGTCACCTGGGTAATGTTGACAGAATCATAGGTGGAGGTGAAAGGTTCGGTAGTGACGCTCACCTCTTGGGTCGTGGCTTCAGTGGACACCCATAAGTCGGTGTCAGTAACAGCATCAGTTGGTGGGGAGGTGTAGGGGGTGAACGGGGGAAGTTCGGAGCTCAGGGTAGTGTCCTCGGTGGTGCTCAACACTTCACCTTCAATTGGGGTAACTAGTGTCATTTTCGGGAAGTTCTGTGGTGAGGGGCACAGCGGTTATAAGGTCTTGAGTAACACTGGTCAGGTCGTCTCCCGGTGTAGGGGTGGGAGGTGTGCTAGCTAAGTCAGCCTCAGGGGTAGAGGTTTGGTTCCCGGACCCGTCATCACCTGGCAGGAACGTCGCGTTGGTTATGTCGTAAGTAAAGGTTTGCGGGGAAGCTGTAGCATCTATGAGGACAGAGGTCGCGGGCTCTAGCAAGCTACTGGCGAGAGTGAGCGCGGGAGTGGGCTCTAGGGTAGGCACTGAACCGAAAATAGGCGTGGTACTTACGTCGAACCCGGACACAAGAGACAAAGATACAAGTTCCACTGAGGGCGTGAGGAAGGAGCCCTCAAGGACGTGCGTGGGGGTGAGGTGTGGCACAGGCGTCGTGGTCACCAACTCAGAGGACAACACAGGGGTATCCTCGACAACGAGTGAGGAAGGCGGGACTGGAAGCACTGGCGATGGTTGCATTGACCAAAATTCACTCCATTCTATTGTGGAGGGAAAGAGACTCGCGGAGGGGACGATGTCATGGAACAATTCACTGGAAGGGTAAGGCACACTGGCGGACTCAAGCTCGCTATAAACTGGCGACTCTTTGGCACTTATCACAGAAGACGTCGTTGGAAAGTCTTTAGCCTCCCGGGGTATGGTGGGCGATATACTCGACACGAACTCATAGCTGGGAGGAACAGTCTCACTGGGGAATAAAACGTAAGTCAAGATATCAACAGAACTTGTCGGGTAAACATAAGTCTCGTCTGTCGACGTCGGGGAAGGAAAATATTCTGTTGTGGACTCATTTAACACACGACTGATATTATACCACTGGTGAAAGATATCTTTTTCAGTGGTATCGAGTGGCTGAAAAGGTTTGTCTTGGAACCAATGAGGAAGCTGCTCGCAAGACTGTCCGTCAGCGGTGGTGACACACTGGCACAGTACCCCCGAGGTGGAGTTGGGACAACTGCAGAAGAAGCTGTCCACCCCGTCGATGCATTTCCCACCGTTCATACACCTGGGAACGAGAGATCTTGAATCAGAAACCCGGAATACATGACGTCGAATGATTTATGGCAATGGTGGTGGTGTTGGTAGTGGTGTTGGTAGTGGTGATGATCGTGGTGATGGTAGTGATGATGATTGTGGTGATGACTGTGGTGATGGTGGTGGATAGGAATGGTTGGGTTAGTGTGTGTGTGTGTGTGTGTGTGTTCCTACACCTCACAGCACATACCTGGGGGCGTAAGGCAGGCAATCATCGTACTGGTCCTGGCACTGGGAGCCGTGATAGTCCGGAACACAGTAACAGGTGGCGTTGTGATCTTCCATAACACAGAGGGCGCCATTATGACACGGGTTGGCCTCGCAGAACACCACCGCCTCCTCGCATAGTGCACCCGTGTACCCTGACGAAGGCGCCGTAGAAGGAAAGGTAGAAAGGAAGGGAAGGGGAAGAAGAGGAGGATGATACACAATTATTAGTCAGTGATAAAAGCTATTTCCTGACTCTAATTGTGCTCCAGGACACCATTGCCTCTGTACACATGTGTTTCCTGACGAAGGGGCAGCAGGAGGAGGAGTAGAAGATGAAGAAAAAGGACGAGGAGGAAGGGGAAGAGAAAGGGTAGAAAAAGAAGGAGGAAGAAAAAGAGTAGGAGTAGGAAGAAGGCGAGGAGGAGGAGGAGGAGGAGGGTTACCATGATACACACACACTACATCAGAACGACACACTATTAGGGTTAGGTTAGGTTTGGTTAGGCTATATGATCAAAAAATAAATGCGTACACATAGAGGACTGACTGTACATATGAGACTAAATGTGCACACAAGGGGTCAGAGAGTGCACACAAGACTGAACAGGTGAGATATAATTTAGTAGAGCAGATTACATAATTAAGGGTAATCTATAACAGGTAATTATGTTATTGAAGACAGCGAGGAGGGAGGTTAATGGTTGTGACTCGGCGGGTAGAGGTGTTGTTGACCCTAACCTAACCAAACTTAACTTAACTTAATCTAACCTAACCAAACTTAACAACAATCTAACCTAACCTAACCAAACCTAACCCATTATTCTCATCTCTTTATATAATACTTATTATTATAACTTGTCTCTTGTTCATGTACTTCTAATCATCAGAATAATTAACATTATTAAAATTATCATTATTATCATCAAAATCATCATTACAGTATTTACAGAACCACTTATGTAATTTATGTATAATCCAACTAATTAAACCGAGTATACAAGAGTTATTAATTCATTCTATGTATTATTGAAGTATACTGTATAAGTAATGTATATTGTATTATTCTTCAACAGCAGATAGCAGCTCAGGGTTGTAGGGACAGGATCTTGTGTCGTGAGCAACAGGAAACGTTTGATAACTATTGAAGATACTACTCGCTGCTTCCTGTTAAATGTTATACGCATTATCTATCTCACAGGGTACCAGGGCTATATTCTAATGTTTATAAATATATACACCTGTAATTTATATGGTATTGTTCCTAATGTATACATACTATAATGGATATTACTGTATGCCTCTACTGTATTATATTCATCTATTTGTATACATACACATACATAATTCATTAAGTATCATTACAGGTGAGTCTAATGAATGTCAAAATAAACACTACGACTCCTATTGTCTCGGTAAGGTTGTCAAAATCATTCGTCTGTTGTGTTATATTGTATCACACAAAATCGTAAAGCTATTTGTAGAAGAGAATACAATTCTTGTTGTATCTCTAGTTGCTCAACGAACCCCCCTTGAATCCGAATCCTCCACGAGCAGAATAACACATCAATGTCTATTTCACGGGTTCATCGGGTTCACGAGACTGAATCTCTGGGTTCGGTGGAGCAGCAAGAGAGTGTCAACAGGACTCACCGAACTGGCAGGCACACGCGAAGGTGCCAGGAATGTTAATGCAGACGGCGGCGTTGTAGCAGGGATCGAAGAGGCACTCGTTCACGTCCTGTTCACACCTGTGGCCCGCCCAACCTGAAGGAGTGGTGGAGGTGGTATAAAGTCTCGAGTGTTCTATATGTTACTCCTTCACTCAGGCAGACAGACAGATAGACAGGCAGACAAGGGGGACATGGCTACATACAAACAGACAAAGGGAGACAGACAGTTACAGAAACAGAGAAAAAGAAAGACAGACAGACAGAAGGAGAACACTATTACCCTGTGTCTTACTCATTCAGTTAGATTAAAAAGAGAGATATATACAATATACCTGTACGTTACCTGTCTTCTCGCGTGTAGCAAACCCTTCCATTACTCTTTCTTCAAGGCAGTAACTAACGTGTGTGTGTGTGTGTGTGTGTGTGTGTGTATGGCTACCCCCCGGTAGACTCAGTATTACCATTTTTGTACCGTAGTTCAATTTCCTCCGAGTCATTTATTAACCAGTACCTTAATTACGGTTTACATAATGACTTTTTTAACTAAATTAGGGTTAACGTGGAGGTCCCTGGCGAGTCTGTGTTATGTCTGTTGCTTCTGTCTGTTGCTTTAGGGTTCCGTCTGTGTTGTGTCTGTAGAAATGGTCACCTCTACTCGAAATACTGTAGGTGTTGGTGCTTAGTTCTACAGGATCTTGTATTATCCTGTAGCGATGGCCGACTGCTGTAGAAATGCTGGTTTAAATCTGTACTAATCACCCGTCGAATAAAATTGGAAATAGTCATATACAGGTGTGGAATAAGTTAAAATAGTCATTACAACCTGAGAGATATACAGACAGTTCATAATATTAGAATTGATGGTTTAAGTCACCCACTACCTCCTGGTCGGGGTATAATAATAATAATCTACCTATAACGTGATACTACTCAACCTTACCTGTCTGTTAATTACCAGGGGAGGATATCTGGTTCCTGAGTCACAAAGGTAAACACGCTAAATATTCCTTATAATTAAAAATCTATTGAATATTCCTCAAATAAAGATCCATTAACTAACTGAGGACTTAGTAAATATTCCTCGTAAAGATCGACTGAATATTCCCCCTACTTGAAGATATAAGATAGCATATAACAGGTTGAGTCCTTCCCAGAAAAAGATATCGTATAAATATGGCGTCTAAATTGCACTAAGACTATACTGGAACTCGTTAAAAAAAGCAAGACATATGATTGATGGGTTCGGTCACGTGATTCTACCCTGGGCTGATGGGATTACACTTCACTAAATTAATCTAAGTTATACTTGGACGGATGCATAGATACGTGCATGGGTTTCTGGTAATTAACATTGGTCGATTGAGATAGATAGATAGATAGAGAGAGACTCTATTTGCCGATTGGAAGAACAAATAACAATTTCATCTACAAGTCAACTGCCCCCCCCCCTAAGAAAACAAAACTAAGCTAATCATTACAATAGGGGCCCATTCCACCCACCATGCCCGCCCTCCTTTCCCTTATCTTAATTAGTCTTCGTCCTAATGAGTATCCTTACATCAGTACCTTCTATGTCCTGTGTAACTTACCTGGTTTAACACAGGTGTATAAATTACCTGGTTGGACAGAAACAGGTGTAGAACTTACCTGGTTGGACAGAAACAGGTGTAGAACTTACCTGGTTGACAGAGACAGGTGTAGAACTTACCTGGTTGGACAGAAACAGGTGTAGAACTTACCTGGTTGACAGAGACAGGTGTAGAACTTACCTGGTTGGGCAGAAACAGGTGTAGAACTTACCTGGTTGGACAGAAACAGGTGTAGAACTTACCTGGTTGACAGAGACAGGTGTAGGAGAGGCCAGGGCCGTCCACACACAGCCCCCCGTTGAAGCACCTGGGAGTATTCCTGGCCCACACTGACGAGGCGTTACACACACTCACGTCAATCTCACAGTTTACACCTGAGAGAACAAGACTACCTTGTGTGTGTGTGTGTGGCGAATTTATTGATCAGGTGAAGTTCAGACACCTCAGTTTATTTCACCTGATGATTAAACCCCCTCACGCCAGCCTGACTGACTCACTGATCCAATCCTACTGGGCCATATTATTATTATTATTATATTATTATTATTATTATTATTATTATTATTATTATTATTATTATTATTATTATTATTATTATTATTATTATTATTATTATTATTATTATTACAGCCGGCCAATACAGTGAGACTTAACTTCGCACATCAATTTAAATACTATAATGAACAATAACTCTTATATAAATATTACAAACACGTCAATAAGGATGGAAATACTAATTAAGGATGAAGGACCCACCTGAGTATCCTATAGGACACGAACACACGTAATGGTTGAGGAGGTCATGGCAGGTGCCGTTATTCTGGCACGGATTACTGTGGCACTCGTTGATCTCCGCCTCGCAGAACTCTCCTGAAGGTGCCGGAGGGAGGTGATGGTTAATTACTGTACAGGTAGTATTCCCCTGAAGGTGCTACAGGTAGGTTGGTAGTTAGTTAGGAGGGAGAGAGACAGTATGATGACAAAGGTAAGGAGAGAATGATGGAAGGAAGGAGGACAGTGGGGAAGGAAGAAAGGGAAGGAAGGAGGAGGGGGAAGGAAGGAGAGAGATGAATTGGTCCATAAAGAGGCAAGAAAAAAAATGAGGAAGGAAGGAAGGAAAGGAAGGAAGGAAGGAAGGAAGGAGCTCTGGCCAGTGTGAGGGGAAGAACCTAAACATGATGATGACCTTCCCTATCATCAGAGCTTGTTATCCAGGGTTCCCTCACAAGAGCCATTAGGAAGGGAAAGTAAGGGGTGGGGGAGGGGGAGAAAGTGAGGGGAATGAGGAGGGAGGGAAAGTGAGGGGGAGGAGAGGAGGAAGGGGAAAGTAAAGGAAGGACGGAGGAGGGGGGAGGAGGGAGGCGGAAGGAAATAAGGAAGGAAGAGACGAGAGAATAAAGGGAAGAAACATCTCATTGGTAATGGTATAACAAGTGCTATCACGTCTCCTCTACGACAACTTTATGGGTTGTAAGACACTCATCACCCGCTTTGTTTACTTACTTCTAACTTCCCTTCCTCTAACTAAACTATCTATCTATTTATCTATCTATCTATTTATCTATCTATCTATCTATCTATCTATCTACTACTGACTGACAAAGGGTAGTGACAATTTTATAAAGTTGTGACCTGTGACCTTTCGAACCCAGTGGATAAGATAGAGAATTGGATGACTAAACGCCTTACTCACGCGACATCCTCTTCCTCCCCCTCATGTGTGTGTGTGTGTAGGCATGTGACTGTGTAGCCATGAACATAAGGCATATGTTCATGGCTATACACACCTAATTGACCTTACCAGCGGGACTGACTCTGTTCTCAATGGACAGGATGTTTACTAACGAAATCCTTATATCGTGTTATCTAGGCGAGAAAACTTAACGAGAAATCCCTTTAACTGCACCGTGGCCCCGACTCTTTCTCCTCCCCCTCCCCTTCCCTACCCCGTCTTTCTGCCCTCTCCCCTTCCCCTACTACTCTTCTCCTCCCCTCTCCCCTTCCCTACGACTCTTTCTCCTACCCCTCCCCTTCCCCTACCCCGACTCTTTCTCCTCCCCCTCCCCTTCCCTACCCCGACTCTTTCTCCTCCCCTCTCCCCCTCCCCCTTCCCCAACTCTTTCTCCTCCTCCCGCCCCCTCCCCCTACCTCCAAATAAATACAAATCTCTCAACACCTCACCCACCTGCACCTCCAGAACATTAACACGATCACCTTAATTTCTTATACCTGGATGACAAGGATGATACCTGTACGTACCTGTATATCCCGGGGCACAGAGGCAGGTGAGGCTCCACCAGGTCGACACAGGTAGCACCGTTGAGACAGGGAGCCGACCAACACTCATCCCAGTTCGTCTGACACCTCATCCCCGTCCACCCGTCCACACAGTAGCAGGAGTATGAACTGCTGTAGGGGCGGGAGAATAACTCCTGGTTACTGAGTGTGTGTGTGTGTGTGTGTGTGTGTGTGTGTGTGTGTGTGTGTGTAATCTCCCTGTCTGTCATGTCTGTCTGTCTGTCACCAGCCTGACCACAACAAGACAGGACACACCTACCTGTTGAGCTGGTCGACACACACCCCGTGGGCACAGGGATTGCTCACACACGCCATCCCCGCCTCCGCCACCGCCAACATCGCCGCTGCCGCCACTGCTGCTGCTGCCGCCGCCGCTGCCGCCACCGCCGCCGTTTCCGCTGTTGCCACCGACGCCGCCGCCACTGCCACCGCCGCCACCACCGCCACCGCCCGCATCATGCACCTGTCATTATGGGGTTAGGTTTGGTTTTAGGGGTTCAATATCACGGTTGATCTAATGACCTTTACAAATTCGGATTCCTGGGAACAAGTTGAGGCATTCCCACTAGTTCTCTTCCATTCCGGGTCACACCATTCCTATTCCCACTAGTTTTCCTCCATTCCGGGTTATACCATTCTAATTTCCCTTCCATTCCGGGTCATATACCATTCCAAATAGTTCTCTTCCATTCCGGGTCACATACCATTCCCATTCCAGTTCAGGAGCGGCTGACGTCACACTGAGGTGATATTGACTAACCAGGAAGAATGTCATGAAGTGCTTTTGTTTTTTGCTTTGTAGAAATAGATAGTTGTTCCTACTTCCGCCTTGGTGTGTGTGTGTCACTAGTCTAACAAACCTTACTGTGGTTGGGGCCGCACATCATAATGGTTAAGTTAGGTTAGGTTAGGGTTGGTTAGGGTTGGTTTGGGTTAGGTTAGGGTTAGTTTAGGGTCAGGGTGGGTTAGGGTTAGGTTAGGGTTGGTTAAGTTAGGTTAGGGTTGGTTAGGGTTAGGTTAGGGTTAGGGTTGGTTAGGGTTAGGTAAGGGTTGGTTGGGTTAGGTAGAGGTTGGTTAGGGTTAGGTTAGGGTTGGTTAGGTTAGGTAAGGGTTGGTTAGGGTTAGGTTAGGGTTGGTTAGGGTTAGGTTAGGTTAGGTTAGGGTTGGTTAGGTTAGGTTAGGGTTGGTTGGGTTAGGTTAGGGTTGGTTAGGGTTAGGTAAGGGTTGGTTAGGGTTAGGTTAGGGTTGGTTATGGTTAGGTTAGGACTCACCAAACATCCGTACAGCAACGTTCTGGATGACAGGCGGCCTACAGCGGATATACTATAAATATAACCAGGGCTGTGGAGTCGGAGTCGGAGTCGAGGAGTCGGGAGAATTTCGGCTTGTGGAGTCGGAGTCAGGTCAGTAGGTGTCCAGACTCGACTCCGACTGAGCTATTCTGTTCCAAGAACAGATATATGAACTCAGGCATATTCATTGCAGTGATTCCACTAATCCACTAATTTTCTTAAATTATTAAAAGAATTTATTTCCATTTTATAAGCATTATTATGAGTTTATTGTAGCAGGCACAGTATAGCACTATAATTTTGGACGATAGTCTCTTCTTTACCATTTGAAATTTTGAATTATATCAAATTTTGTTTCGTTGAAAACTGCACAGAGGCTCTCAGCTACAAAACAATTAAGCTACAACCTGTTTTTGGTGAGATTAAAGAAAATTAAATTTAATAACTAATCATGTAAGGTTTATCCATTTTCCTTAATAAGGTATTCATTTTTAATGTACATAAATATATAACTTTACTTTAAAAGAATTGTAGGATCATCATTTAGATCCACATCAGATTATGAGCAAACAAAATTCATATGCTGAGATCGAACTTTTAGATATACATGTAAATGGTGTTTTCTAGTTAATATCTTGAATTCTTAATAAATTTATTTTTTCTTTGATTGAAACTTTGAAAGTCAAGCCTATCATCTTTTGTAGTTCTTAAATATCGTCCAGATCATTAATAAAGCTGTAGCAGTATACACGGTGTTTTACTTTTTACCTACGCAGGTTACAACATACAAATTACAATTAGGATGGTAGAAATAGTTGTTACAAATAGGCCAAGGAGTCGGAGTCGGAAGCATAAAAATTTGAGAGTCGGAGTCGAAGGTTTTGTCTTCGACTCCACAGCCCTGAATATAACCCTCATATCACACTGTCTTTTGTTCTATTATACACAAGATGAACTTCACGACCTCAGTCACACCAACACGACCCAGCGCGTATAAAACCTTTCACGAGAACTCAAACACACGATACAACCCCGAGCGTCCCATCTCCTCCTCCTCGCCCTCTACACTAACCTCCCCTGAACTACAATTATTAGGAGCAAGACCCATTTGACCAGACGCAGCTTGACGGAGGAGGAGGAGAGGAGGAGGGAGGAGGAGGGAGGAGGAAGGGAGGAGGAGGAGGAGGAGGGAGGAGGAGGAGGAGAGAGAGAAGAAGAAGAAGAAGAAGAAGAAGAAGAAGAAGAAGAAGAAGAAGAAGAAGAAGAAGAAGAAGAAGAAGAAGAAGAAGAGGAGGAGGAGGAGGAGGAGGAGGAGGAGGAGGAGGGAGGAGGAGGAGGAGGAGGAAGAGGAGGAGGAGGCTAGTGGGGGCGGCCTTCAGGAGTGACTGACCCACATCCCAGTCAGCCAGCATCGACCCTGTGTCTACATGATTAATGAACTGGTGACGTAGAAATGTGACGTTGTAGATGAGGAGAGAGAGTTCATTATCCCTCTACTGTTCCAAAAGCGTCTAATAATAGCTCTATACAGTCACGTCTCTATCTTCATCAAGTCCCAAGGTAGAAGGGGGCCGCTTGCACTACCTGGCCCCCCAATTACCTGGATAAATTTAGTATGGGTGGGGTCGTTGATCAGGTGTGGTTCCGCAGTCTTAATGGAGCCTAGTATTTAAAGGGGTTTCAAGTGTTAATGGGACCCACTATTAAAGGTTTTCTAAAGGGTTAATGGGGCCCCTGTCCTAATAAGCCCCAACCTAAGTGATGTTGATAACTAAGGTAGAATTCAGTCATGCAGTCTAACCTAACCTAATCTGTCGTCAGAGAGAGATATGCTTGACCCATAAACCACCTAAGATGACCGCTAACCTGTTTAATAAAGTTGTATTTACATATAATTATATTTTCTTATCCTTAATTAATGCGCTAAAAAATAATAATAATATCAATTGATTTTATGAAACACTAAGCGTGACGAACAACACCATGGTAATAGACGGATTCAAGCGTGGTGAATGGTGGGGTGAAATTCAAGCGTGGTGGGGTGAGATTCAAGCGTGGTGGGTGAGATTCAGCGTGGTGGGGGTGAGATTCAAGCGTGGTGGGGTGAATTCAAGCGTGGTGGGGGTGAGATTCAAGCGTGGTGGGGTGAGATTCAAGCGTGGTGGGGGTGAGATTCAAGCGTGGTGGGGTGAGATTCAAGCGTGGTGGGGGTGAGATTCAAGCGTGGTGGGGGTGAGATTCAAGCGTGGTGGGGGAGATTCAAGCGTGGTGGGGTGAGATTCAAGCGTGGTGGGGGGTGAGATTCAAGCGTGGTGGGGGTGAGATTCAAGCGTGGTGGGGGTGAGATTCAAGCGTGGTGGGGGTGAGATTCCAAGCGTGGTGGGGTGAGATTCAAGCGTGTGGGGAATTCAAGCGTGGTGGGGGTGAGATTCAAGCGTGGTGGGGGGTGAGATTAAAGCGTGGTGGGGTGAGATTCAAAGCGTGGTGGGGGTGAGATTCAAGCGTGGTGGGGGGTGAGATTCAAGCGTGGTGGGGGTGAGAGTTAAGCGTGGTGGGGGTGAGATTCAAGCGTGGTGGGGTGAGATTCAAGAGTGGTGGGGGTGAGATTCCAAGCGTGGTGGGGGTGAAGTTCAAGCGTGGTGGGGTGAGATTCAAGCGTGGTGGGGTGAGATTCAGCGTGGTGGGGTGAGATTCAAGCGTGGTGGGGGTGTGAGATTCAAGCGTGTGGTGGGGTGAGATTGGCGTGGTGGGGGGAGATTCAAGCGTGGTGGGGGTGAGATTCAAGCGTGGTGGGGTGAGATTCAAGCGTGGTGGGGGTGAGATTCAGCGTGGTGGGGGTGAGATTCAAGCGTGGTGGGGTGAGATTCAAGCGTGGTGGGGGTGAGATTCAAGCGTGGTGGGGGGGTGAGATTCAAGCGTGGTGGGGTGAGATTCAAGCGTGGTGGGGGTGAGATTCAAGCGTGGTGGGGGTGAGATTCAAGCGTGGTGGGGGTGAGATTCAGCGTGGTGGGGGTGAGATTAAAGCGTGGTGGGGGTGAGATTCAAGCGTGGTGGGGGTGAAGATTCAAGCGTGGTGGGGTGAGATTCAAGCGTGGTGGGGGTGAGATTCAAGCGTGGTGGGGGTGAGATTCAAGCGTGGTGGGGGTGAGATTCAAGCGTGGTGGTGAGATTCAAGCGTGGTGAAGGTGAGATTCAAGCGTGGTGGGGGTGAGATTCAAGCGTGGTGGGGGTGAGATTCAAGCGTGGTGGGGTGAGATTCAAGCGTGGTGGGGTGAGATTCAAGCGTGGTGGGGGTGAGATTCAAAGCGTGGTGGGGTGAGATTCAAGCGTGGTGGGGGTGAGATTCAAGCGTGGTGGGGGTGAGATTCAAGCGTGGTGGGGTGAGATTCAGCGTGGTGGGGGTGAATTCAAGCGTGGTGGGGGTGAGATTCAAGCGTGGTGGGGGTGAGATTTAAGCGTGGTGGGGGTGAGATTCAAGCGTGGTGGGGGTGAGATTCCAGTGGTGGGGGGGTGAGATTCAAGCGTGGTGGGGGGTGAGATTCAAGCGTGGTGGGGGTGAGATTCAAGCGTGGTGGGGGTGGAATTCAAGCGTGGTGGGGGTGAGATTCAAGCGTGGTGGGGGTGAGATTCAAGCGTGGTGGGGGTGAGATTCAAGCGTGGTGGGGGTGAGATTCAAGCGTGACAGCCCAGCAACTTCCTTGACTACTATAGACATTTGCTCTTGTTAAGGAAATAAGTAATTTTATGTAAGGATAAGAACCCCGAATAGGACACGAGACAAACCGAACCCAATTCAACCTAATCTAACCTAACCCAACCATAACTAATCTGTTTATGTGCACTACAATGTATGTATGGCGTGCACACAAAGCCTTGCAAGTATGCGTAATGCGTGACTATGCGCGCGTGCGTGTCGTTAGCACTGACTGGAAGATGCAACCTTTTAGTGTTAACGAAGGCGGGTCTATTGATCGCTATGTTTAACCCCCCTCAGTGTGTGTGTGTACGAGAGACCACCCCTGGCGTGACCACACTATCTATACTCTACTGCGTGATGGGTGAGGCAACACGACAACTCGCTGACGTGTAC